GTGTTCGATTGTCAAAGAGGCACTGGATGCTCCTGATTTGCTGCTCCTCTTCTTGCTGAAAACGGATTTGAGGTTCTTTAGTGGCGAATTCGTTGAAGAAGCGGATTCTCCAACGGCTTTTCCTTTACTCCTCCGTACTGCGGATTCCGGGTCTTCGAGAGGAGGGACCAGAGGTGTATCAGATCCTCGGGTCATGAGAAAACTATAAACAAAACAAAAAACGCATAAAAAGAACAAAAAAAAATTAAGACTGTGAACAGCGATGAACTCGCCGAGACGGCATGAGTGCACTCGGCGAGTTGAAGGCAAAAACAGAAAAATTTTCTAATGACTTTTTAAAAACGGATTTTTATTAAAACTTATACTAATTACTAAATTACCTAAGAATTAACTTTCTGTAAGATAAATCCCACACAAAGGATCGATTGAACTAAAATTCAGTACTAATTTAGGACCGTTCCCCGGCAACGGCACCAAAAAATTGATGTGTGTAAACTCAAATAGTTTTAAACCTACTTTTAATTATAAAATAAACACACAAAGACAGTGGACCTATCTATTGTGGTATAGCTAAATAAGTAGGGTATCGAACACAGGGAACGGTAAATTAAAACTAAAAACTAATTTTATCTAAATTAACTAATAAGTAGGGATTTTCTCTAGTTTTACAAGACTAGAAAACTTACTAACTATCACTTAAACTAAAAGCTAGAAAAGCCAAGAATTAATAGATTCAATAATGGGAAGGACTTCTGTTTAGTTCAACTCAATTGATCCTATGGTTGATATTATGGTAATAGTGCAATGGACTAACTCTTTTGTTGGTTACCAATTCAAGTGATTAGATTCGCATTCACTACACTAACCCTTAATGAACAAACTAACTCAAACAGTGATCAGTTCTCTAATTTAATTAAATTCACTAGATTAATTATTCGGGTTAATTTAGACTTGCAATAGTTAACTAATTTGGTCCTTTAGTTAACTTCTTGTTGATGGTCATCACACAAGCTCACACATGAATATACCTAATTTTCTTATTAATTCTAGTTTCATGTTCATTAATCCTAGATATATGATAAAGTGGTCACATAAACATATGAGGTTGATAATCAAAAGATGTTCATACTATTTAATTACCTTCCTATTAACATAAAATTAATTATTATTCACACACAAGGTTCTTTAGCAAGCTAAAACTAACAAAAATCACCAACATTGAATTAATCCTACCAATTATCAAACCATAGTCTCAATTTTGTATCCCTAAATAGAAGTTTAAGAGTTTTAGCTCATGATTGAGGTAAATAACAACAAATAAACGAATTCTAATTGTCTAGCCATAATGGAAAACAAAAGATTAAGTAGAATGATGAGAAATTTGCCTCAAATCTCCTTCGGAATTGGATTCTAGGTTGTATCTTCGTTCTCTAGGGTTTTTCTGGCTCTTCAATTGCAGCTAATCTCTCCAGAAGGGTTCCAGAATTCCTCCTGTCGATCTGAGAAGTTATCTTTATAAATGTGAACCGACTCGTCGAGTCCATTGCCGACTCGCCGAGTCCATCTATTAATCGCCGTATGCGATAAGTCTCTGAGTCTTTAAGTCTTTATCTTCTCGAATATTCGATCGGGCTCGCCGAGTAGTCGACCCTACTCGCTGAGTCGGTGTTGTTTTTAGTGGTTTTATTCTTTGTTCAACTCCCAAGCTCCCAATCGTTTCTCCTGCTTCCTTTTGCTTCTGAGCTTCACTATTGGACTAAAAACATAATTCAAACACTTTTAAGTATATTTTGTCCATGATATGCGATAATTTAGCTAATAAATGATAAAAAAAATCTATACTTAATATGAGCTAAATATGCAAATATCAATAGTCAAATTGGAAGCTTATTGGTCCATTAGGCCCAACAAGAAAATCCTAGTCCAAAATGGACTTAAACTAGGATTTTTAGGGTTTCCAACTTTTGTTGAATATTTGAAAGTTTGTATAGGGTATTTGATGGAATTTTGTTGTCATTGAATAAACACCATACATATTTTAGCTACAATGTCATTCTTTGTTAAGTGTTTACAACGTATCAGAATCCCTGGTTGTGACAGTAACACCTGGTTCCTGGTATGTATTTAATTCATAATTATTCTTTTTTGTATAGAAACTCGACAATTTGGAGGCCCCAAACTCATTGAGTATTGATGGATTAGGATGCGGGTTAAGAAGTCTACTCGGCGAGTTGAGAACCCTCAAGTCAACAAGTAAGCTAGCAGAATGAAACCCTAATTTTCAGGATTTTGCACCCTATTTAAACACCTTAACCCCCATAATCTGGCCTCATTTCCAGGATCCATTGTCCCCAACCCTATCCTCGAAACCCTAATCCACTTTTGAGAGTTTTGAGCCAACTTTTATGCATTTTTGGTGATTTTGAAGAAGAAGGTACTTGAAGGAGCAAGGATGTGTAGGAGGAGAGTAGATCCAGAAGCTGGGCTTGATTTCTAGTTCATATGAGGTATAAAGATCCTACCTTATCTTTATCATGCTTATATCTAGTTTTAGGATGATTCTTCATGTTTTGGTCCAAGTATGTTGGTTTTTGGGATTTGGACGTCCTTTATGGGCAAACCCTTCAGATCTAGGGTCTTAAAAGGACTTCATGGCATAAAGGTGCCAACTTTATCGCCATGGAAGTCTCATGCAACTTTTAGACCATCTTTTTGATCTTTTGAGTCAAGTAGGCCATGCATGCAAGCAAATATAGGAACTTTACATGACCAAACCGCCCCTAGAGTCCAGATCTATGACCCCATGGCTTATTTTGAAGTTTTGATGGCTTTTAGAGTTGGATCTAAGCCATTTTGAGTTAGGGTCAGAGCTTATTTCTTCTATGATGGGTCTTAATGGGTAAAGTCGGAAACTTTACCCTCCTAGATGTGTATTTGACCCAGATCTAGAATATGAGACTTAGATTCGAAGATTAATGGCTCAATGCATTAAGAAGGCTTAACAGAGTGAAGAACTAGATGAGTTCATAGAGGAACTCGATGAGTTGAATCGAAGTGTCCCGATTCTGTTAGAGGAAGGACTCGACGAGTTCAAGGACAGACTTCACGAGTTGATTTAGAAAGTCTAAATTATGTTGATAGAAGGAACTCGACGAGTTGGATCGCGATTTCCGGGTTTTGTGATTTTTGGACTTAGCGAGTTGAAGGGCCAACTTGGCGAGTTAAGTTAACTCGGAATGTTGACTTTGACCAGGGTGTTGACTTTTACTTTGACCAAATTTGAACCTTAAGGGGTTATGAATATGAAAGGGTGATTAAAGGGAATCTTTTATGTGTAGGAGTTTGAGTGGGGTTGATTTTAGCGTCGGGGACTGTTCAGCTACTTTACAACATTTGAGGTGAGTTACCTTCCAATAGAAGTGGGTTAAAGGCACCAATACCAGCCGACTAGTAACTAATTATAGTAGAGATGATTCTCTTTGTGATAATTGTTTGGTATGCGACTATCTATTGAGATTTTTGTGCTCCTATGCTATGTTATTACGCGGTAGTGGTAGGGGTGAAATAGTCCCCGTAGCCGGTCGGAAGATTGAATGGATAGGCCAACACCCAGATATGTTAGGCAATATGTGATTATGCGTTTATTTGCTAGGATATTATGTGGTAATGGTAGGGGTGAAATAGTCCCCATAACTGGTTGAAAGAGACCAAAGGGGTAGGCCAACACTCAAATATGCTAGACAGTTATCAGTTGAAAGAGACCGAAGGGTTAGGCCAGCACCCTGATATGCTAGGAGGTTACAGGTTGGAAGAGACTGAAGGGATAGACCAGCACCTGAATATGCTAGGTAGTATGTTTATTGTATGGTATATGGTATGATGGGGGAACTCACTAAACTTTGTGCTTACGATTTTCAGTTTTGGTTTCAGGTACTTCTTCTTTGAAAGGAAATGAGTCGAAATGATTGCAGTGCATCACACCATGATTTACGCACATAAGATCTTTAGGAGTTATACTCTGATGTTGTTTTATCGTGACAAGTTTTGACTATTGATACATTGGTTTTGATATGACATGATACTATGGATGTTTTCAGACAAACGGTTTTATGATTATTAAATTAAAAATGAAATATTTAGTCTAAAATTTTTGGTTGTTACATAATCACCATGTTAGAGGAGTTAAGATTGTACATGATGAACATATTGTACAACATGCAATTATAGAGATAACAATAGGGAAATCATATTTTCCCATAGATAAGGGATAAGGTGAATTTGCTTAAAAAATGCAAAGGCATTTTCAGGTACTACCTAGTGGATTAAACCAGTTTGAGGTTAAGGGTGCAACAGATGCATATGAGGTGGACTTAGAAAGGAAAACATGTTCATGTAGGTTATGGCAATTGAATGGATATAGATGTGCTCTTTTTGTAGCTAGCACATCCTATCTTAATAGGGATGTAAAAGCCTATGTAGACAGCATGTATAGCACCACAACATTTAGGAAGGCATAAAGTTACAGAATTTCCCCCATGAATGGAAGTGACATGTGGACAGAGACAAATTATACTCCAACATTGCCTCCTATTAGTAGAAGGATGTCTGGTAGGCTAGCTACTAAGAGGAAGAAATCCACTACAGAGAATAAAGGAAAAACTAGGGTTTTTAAGGCTGGAAAAGAAAATTAGATGTAGTATATGCAAGGAGGTAGGTCACAACAAGGCCATTTGTCCAGAGAGAAGACCCCAAAAGTTAAATGTGAAGAAATAGAAGAAACAAAAACTTTGTGTAAAGCAAAATGCAGAACATATAAAACCATTTAAAATTAAAGTTTATTTACATATGATTTGCCACTAACATTATTATATCATGCCATATAGGGTAGTATACGCGAACCTCAACAACATAAAGATGTTGAAATGAATCTAATTGAGAATGATATGTAAGCTACACATAATGATGTTGAATCCAGTAGTGCGGGGGATTTTAGTTAGTATATGCAAGTTACTCCACCTAGAAGTTATGAAGGTGAGGAGGCTGTTGTGGGTGGAGAGGCTGAGGAGGGTGGTAATGTTCAAGATGATGAGGTTATTCCTAATTTCCAAGTTGATGACAATGTTCAAATTAAGGAGGTTATTCTTATTGTACAGGTTCAGCAGGGAAGGGTTAGACCAATTTCAGAGATTTTGAATAGGATAAGGAGAAGAAAGTCAGAGAGAATCTTGAAGCTGAAATTAGGCAAGAGAATTGATGGTGTTGATGATCCAGGAAATTCTAAGGGAAAAACTCTTCTAACTGATTAGTGTTAAATTTTTCTTTGTGTTATTTGGATTTAATGTATGTGTATTAGGATGATGGTAATTTTCAATTGAGTTTAATGTGTGTTTATCTAGATTTTTGTTTGAATTTAAGGTAGTTGTCTTTGTTAAGTACATGTGATGTCAAAAGGGCATTGTGGTCACTTATGAATGCATGTTGCCTTTTTAAGAAAACTCATGATATAAGAGGGTATTTTGGTCACTTACGAATGTATGTTGCCTTTTTAAGTTAACTCATGCCATAAAAGGGTATTTTGGTCACTTATAAATGTATGTTGTCTTTTTAAGAAAACTCATGATATAAAAGGGTATTTTGGTCACTTATGAATGGATGTTTCCTTTTAAGTAAACTCATGATATAAGAGGATATTTTGGTCACTTAGGAATGTATGTTGCCTTTTTAAGTAAACTCATGACATAAAACGGTATTTTGGTCACTTATCAATGTATGTTACCTTTTAAAGTAAACACATGACATAAAAGGGTATTTTGGTCACTTATGAAAGTATGTTGCCTTTTTAAGTAAATTAATGACATGAAATGACATTTTGGTCACTTATGAAACTATGTTGCCTTTTTACGTAAACTCATGACATATGGCTTTGAATATTTCTGCATGAAAAAATTTGGAATAATATGCATGCATATGGATGTGTTATAGGGTCCCATATATGGTTCTATAATGACTTCAAAGGTCCCATTTTTCCATTATAAAAACACCCATTGGCTATTAACTACAAATGGTCCCCATACATAGTGTACTTCCACATGGACCACTTTATACTTTATTCCTAATATAATACCATGCACACCAACCAATTTAATTATATATAATAAAAGGAAAATAAGCCATGCATGTTTCAATAACATAAACATTTCCAACATCTGATTATACAAATACCCTAAAATTAGGACTTTTAATTTGGTTTTACAGTAGTTATAAAATGCCCTTTCATTAGGGACTTACTAGCTTACAACATCAAGACACCAAGGTTGTGTCACACCCCAAAACCGAAACGGCGGAAACGTTCTGGGGTGAATGACGTCATGTCAAGTATCACAACATATGAAGTATAGTAATCAAAGTACAACAACCATTGCATTAATAGTAATAGTTTTACATGGTTTACATTACATTACATCAACAAAGTAATACAAGTAATAATGTAGATGCAGCTTGGTACTAAATGGTCTTCACAAAGGCGCCTGAGATGTATCTGTCTATTTCTGACCTGAGAATACAAGTTATTTAAAAACGAGTATCAGCATTTTTACAAATGCTGGTGAGTTCATAAGTATTTAGTGTCATTTTATCCAAATAACTTTATATAAGTAGTAGTTTTAGAGTATACAGTGAATTAGAGTCCCTTCTAGAAAATCCTATATTTTCTAATTTAAAAGCAGTCTTCTACCAAGACTGGATGGAGTTATGTTGTAAAAAGTAATTTTTCCCTTAACACTATCATTATCAAAATAGGGTATTGATTGTAAAGAATGTAGGGGAATATCAGGGAAAACAACATATGCCTCAGCAGTGAAGACTGCTGACTAAAGCAAAAGAAATCATAGACTCCAGGAGAGTATCGAATGAACAACGCACCTGACTCAGTCTAATGAGAGGAGACACAGATCCCAGATAGTATCATTTGAATGATACGTCTAGCAAGGTCTAAAAACAGTGAATACAGACCCCAGGCAGTATGAAATGAAAGATAAGTCTAGCAAGGTCTAAAAACAGTGAATACATATCCCAGACAGTATGAAATGAATGATAAGTCTAGCAAGGTCTAAGAACAGTGAATACAGTGTAAATTTCCATTACCTTAAGGCCATGAATTATAAGGTAACCCCAAGATACTCGCAACCATACTGATAGACACTAGAGAACTTGACGCCTTGCAAGTGTCGGAAATATTGTGACATCTGTCACCCTTTGGCTTGGTAGGCCATGGACTGTAGCTAGCAGTCTGGGTGCGGGGGTGTCAATCCCATATAGATCTATACACATAATGCCCGCTCTCCCTACACGAGACTCTTGTTACCAACTAGACGACAGAGAAGGCTGTGTCCTGAAGATGCATCTCGAATAGTGAGATCTAGTGTAAAATATTGGACAAGTGATAGAGACTCACAACTGAACTGGCCGATGTAAACCTATATGTATATGCTTGTATACATAATGACTAATGATCAAACAACCTTCGGACGGATATCCGATCCCACTAGACCACATCTCAACGAAGAAAAAGAAATAGGGCGAACTAGCCTTCCTAAGTCCTTTAAACATTATTTATATAATTATACAAGCATAGACATACATTTAATTAAGTAGAAGCATTTAACGAAGTTTAAGTGTTTAACGACGTAGGAGTGTTTCACAAGGTATAAGAGTTAACGAATAGGGGCGTATCGTGAAGTAGAAACGTATCGTGAAGTATAAGCATATCGTGAAGTATAAGTGAATTGTAAAGTAGAAGTGTATCGTGAAGTATAAGTGAATCGTGAAGTAGGATTGTATCGTGAAGTATAAGTGTATCGTGAAGTATAAGCGTATCGTGAAGTATAAGTGAATCGTGAAGTATAAGTGTATCGTGAAGTATAAGCATATCGTGAAGTATAAGTGTATCGTGAAGTATAAGTGTTAACAAAGTAGTAGTGTTTAACTAAGTAGGAGCATTAACTAGGTAGAAGTATAATGAAACAGTAGTATTTAACAAAGTAGGAGCATAAAACATGGAAGAAAACTTTGATGAAATCATTGGAAAACCTTTATACTTTAAGAAAATCCTTCATAAACAAGTTTTGATTATAACCTTGATAAAGTAGAGAAAACCTTTATTTAAAATGCTGCTGTAATAGAGTTTGAAATAAAACACAGCACGAGAGGCAATTTGGGAAAAGCTTTGAACACATAAAGAGGTTTTAGAAAACCATTTACAGTATCATACTTGGTAAAACAGTTGACAGTGTAATGAATCCTTGTGCATGCCGGTTATCAATCACATGTGATTGATATGATAACTGGCATGTTTCACTTGTATTCCCCCTAAAATCATGTAAAAACATTTAAAAGGTTAATTCAGGGGTATGAACTCACCTGTTGTAAGTGGATCCGACGAAGGTGCCGGTTGGGTGCTCGATGTCAATTAAAGACTTGAACAAACTTAGTGACCTATTAACATATGATGACATATGTTTACATACAATTAGTAAATATAACACTAATTAATTACATATACGCATCCTAAAGTGTGGAAAACACCTTGGTTAAGTGTTTGGAGTGTCCCAGGTAACATTTAAGGGTGTGTATGGCTTAGATCGGGAGTTTACTCTTCAAGAGCAAACTCTTTATAGAGTTCACGGCCCTGGGACTAACTCCCCATGAGTTTACGGTCGTAAACTCATGGTGAGGGTGTTCTAGGATGCCAAAATGTCTTATATCACTCAAGGAATTAGGCTAGACTCAAATCTAGGGCTTATGAAGGGTTTAAGGCCTCACATGGACCATTTTTGGGAGTTTACGGCAGTAAACATGGAGTTTACAGCCGTAAACTCCTACTAACCCTTTCCTTTTGTGTTTTGAGGTCTTAAATGGTAGAGAATAAAGTTCTAGGCATTTTTCCAAGTCAAATGGGGAGTTTAGGGCATCATTTGGGCACCTTTTAGGAGTTTACGGCCCATGGACCTTTCCTAGGGGGGTTTACGGCCATAAACTCCTATTTTCTTGGATTTATTGAAGTTTAAAGCCCTTACTTCAATGGTGGTTGCTTCTAGACATTTTCCAAGGCTATAGGAGGTATTTAGGGGCATTTCTAACACCTAAACTTGAGTTTACTCCCCATGAAGAGGAGTTTACGGCCCAAGCAAGTTCTTGGGCAGTAAACTCAAGTTTACTCCCCAAAAGTTAAGTTCAATGTATTCTAAGTCCGTTTCCATAAGTCATTTAACCATATCTAAGTCTTAGGGGTACTTTACAGGGGTTTTGGGGCTTAAAAACCCCATTTAATGGTGTTCACAGTCCCTGAGTGTTCTTGGGTCATAAACACATGAATTTACCCCTATTTGATGTTTTAAACATGAATTTGCATGCTAGCTAAGCTATACAACAAGTTAGGGTAGATTGCTTACTCGTTTAGGGCTCGAAACGGACGATTTTTGGCTTGAAATTAAGTTGTAGAGAGAGAGAGTGTGTGTGTGTAAAGAGAGAGTAAAAAGGGTGGAAATGAAGTTTACTCTCCCTTATATAGGGGCTTGAGTTGAGGCTCAGTGGAAATTGTGACATCCCCATTTTCATGGCCAGAAAAGACCGATTTTGTTTATGCTTTATAAAAATCAGAGTACTTTTCATAAAAATGTTGCGGAATTTGTACCTAGAAAAACATGATAAATATGTTATTAAAACATTTTAGAAGAAACGTATTTTATTCATTTCAAAACGTTTGGGATGTCATCGTTAATACAGAAACATAAACATAAACAGAACTTACATTTATTTACACTAGTGATCTACATCTCTTTAAATCTCTCAGTGTAAAGTGACTTCGTATCAACACCTGTGATATAAATAAACTGAGTGGGTTAGGTTGGGAAACCTGGTGAGTACATAGGGTTCTCAACCCACAATAATATAATCATTATGTTTAAATAATCAAACAATCAACCCAATTACCCACCCCCATTATCTTCTTTATTCTTAAGGGTCTACCCTAAGAATCAGCTATTTCTCATTCATTCATTCCTAAGGATCATCCTAAGGAAACATCATGAAGTCCATTGTTGCCAATGACACATTGGCCAAGCGCAGCTGCTAATCTTGTCACTTAGGCGCAATTGCCAGAATTGGGACATTTTCTATGAGGCGCTTCTGCCGATATTGACCTTTAAACGCTACTGTCATGGTCATAAGGCTCCCTATTAGGCGCAGATGCCGATACTGTCCTTAGAGCGCAGCTGCTAGGACGTTTATCGTAGATCCGAAACATCTA